ACGTATTTGTTATACCCAACAAAAATGTATTTATTTTATTTTGGTTCAAGCTTATTTCTTTGGCAATTAAGAATTAAAAACATAAGCATCACAACAAAAAATCTTTAAACTGAAATAATCATAAGGGGCTCCTGACCATACCTCTTGGGGTGTTTTCTCTCGCAAGCCGTCGAAAGTGACTGATTGATGAGATAATAAGCCATTATCACGACTTCGGCCCATAGATCTTGCTCCAATCCGGTATTACTCAACATGCTTCTAGCTCGCTCCATCAAAGTTTGATTCATCCTTTCCGCAACATCATTTTGTTGGAGAGTGTAAATCGTGATGAAATGCCTCTTGATTCCTTCATCTTTACAAAATTTTGTAACTCATCAGAATTGTACTCATTCTATTATCAGTACGAAGTATCTTGATGTGGCGCCCCGTACTCCTCTCAACTTCAGCCTTAAAATGTTTAAAAGGCAAAAATGCATCACTCTTTTATTTAAGAGTGAACACCTATATCTTCTTTTAGATATAATATACAAAAAAAATAAAATACAATGCACCACCATATGACATTGTGGGTGAGGCCCCCATAAATCCGAGTGAATATAATCAATTATATCATTGCTTGTTTGGCTTCCGGCTTTGAAACTTTGTCTATATTGTTTTCCATAGATATAATGCTTACAAATTTTGGATTCCCTAAATTTTATGGTGCGAATTAACTTCCTCTTCATCAAAATCTCCATACCCTTTTCATTCAAGTTACCCAACCTTCTATGTTATAAGCGTAGGGGAAGATCGTTACTCTCTACTATCAAATTTGCAACAACATCAACAATAAAGCTTCCCAATAATTTATACAAGTTCTCAACTCTAACTGCCTTGATCACAATATGAATACCCTTGGGTACTTTGAGAACTCCCACTTGTTATGTAAATTTATGGCAATTGGAATTCAATAAAGAATGGAAATTAAACTTTTCTTCCAGTCCGGAACATGTTAAAACACTCAAGTGTGCGTATACGTCCATCATATATCCTTCATTTTACAGTGCCAATCCCAATCATTATACTACTTGAATTATTTCTCATCAACACAGAACCACCATCACATGGTTCATATGAACTAAACAATGACTTGTGTGGGCACGTATGATATGTAGCACCACTATCCAATTTTGATGGAATTCGAGATTGTAACCCACAACATAAACATCTTCTTTAATGAAACCGAATGTAGATTCTTCTACTTGATTTATCTCATTTTTGGACTCATCCCTTGTTTTTTCAAATTTTTTACCTTTTTTTTCGGTACAACTTTTCTTTATATGATCGGCTTCGCCACATCCCCAACAAACAAACTTGTTTTCTCGCCTTTTAGACTTTGATCAACCCTTTAACTTAGTTCTTAAAGAAATTTTGAGACGAATAAATTATTATAAGATTCTGATAAAGTACATAACAACATTACCTCATTGTCTTCATCTTTCATATTTTTCACCAATACTATAAAGTTCACAAATAATATTATTGAAAGTGTTCAAATGATTGGAAAGTTTTGTTTCATCTTTCTTGCTTAAACTAAACAAGTTTTCTTTAATAGAATACAGTTTTTAAGATATTTGTTTTGATGAACACTTTTCAATTTCTCCCACAAACTATTTTTGAGTAATGCTTTGTATCGTCCTTGTCGGACTAAAAGATCATGAACTTGAATTTTCTACATCTCAAAATCATTTTGTCCATCAAATTTCTCCACCTCAAATGGATTATTCGTCATTCTTCCAAATATCTTGCACAAAACCTAATGCCCTGACACCATTTGTTAGAGATTCGAATACCCAAAGCTCCAATTTAATCGATCACCAATTATCACACTCAAAACCTAATATATAAAATTGATAATCTACTCAATAATTTAAGAAGAATAAATTAGAGTTGAAGATATAATCATGATAGAAAATTAGAGAGAGACAAACCACAATACGAATTTAACATGATTCACGCCATAGGGCTAGGTTCAAAGGCAAGCCATCAAGTAATTCCATTATAAAAAAGAAATGTACAGGGGAGATACAATGTTACCTCAAAGGAGAAAACCGGTGAAATCTATGACTAAAATACCTTTTTATAATGACCCAAGCCCATAATTTACTTTATGTTTCATTTCAGATGATGCAAGAATTTGAACAACACAAGCTCATACAATTTTTCCCAAAAAATAGACAAGAAATCTTTTTTTACCTCTTTCCCTTTCTCACATAACTAAAAGAAACCCTAGCCTTTTTTTTAGAGAGAGAAGAGTAAAGACCAAGAAGAATGAATCGTATGTTCAAAAAAGCCCCTTCTTTTAGCTTTTACACATGGAAAAAGTTTATATAAGGTTGCAAACAATGTAGAATTACAGATGTGCCTAAAAAATTCATCAAAAAATGTCATTTTAATGTTGAAAACTCTATAATTGATCATCTCGACATCGAGATTAATAAATATGAAAAAAAAAATACCAAAAATAGTACATCGTATCGTCCGTTTTCAAGATTTTCATATGTTTATAGATCTACTTGATTTTAACCATATTTGAAGTTTAAAATTTTATAATTAGATAGGAAAATAGATTTTTATATAATCCTAAACATTTTTTACACCAAAATTACATATTATGATAAAATTTGGAGGTGATTTTTTACCCCAAAATTTCTAGTGACAAAAAAACCCAACAACAATTGAAAAGACAATTCTATCCAAGGTGATTTTTCTATCACCATTAACACGTACTTACCCAAGATTTATGTGATACAAAAGATTTTTTTCTCGTGTATTGACTATTGAGTTTCGACCTGGAATAAACAATGGTAGTTTCATCATTTGGCTCATGCCACGAGCCAAGTGAGATAAATATAAGGGAAAATTACAAAAAAAAAAACCCAAAATGTAATATTTATGCAACTTACCTCCAGCCAACCTTTTCTCACTTTTTTTCCCACAACAACTTTTCTTCGTAAAACCCCCCAAGGTAAAAAGTTGTTATTTTTTGGACGGAAATACCTTTCTCATACAAAAAAATTCAATTGGCGGTCCCAAGTTGTGTATTGTCGCAGTGTAGAATAACATTGCCAAAGCACTTTGTAATGATTGCCGGATCAGAATAGGTGAACGTTGTGGCTCCAGAATGTGTATCATCGGAGCACCTTCATCTACTGCAGGAGCGTTAAAAGCACTGCCGGAGTGCCCTAATGCACTGCCAGAGCGTTGGGGCTCCAGCGACCCTACTGTCGGATCGCATTCATAGAGTGTCGGAGCGAATTGTCTCTAAAAGGTGTATTGCCGAAGCGAGATCACATAATGCTAGAGCAAATTCGTCTACTGCTGGAGCGAACTACCATACTACCAGAGCGCTGTGGCTCCAGAAGGTGTACTGTCAGAGCGAATGTTTGTATCGCCGGAGCTCGTTTCTGTACCACCTGAGCGACGGAATCAACCGCCGGAGTGTCCTAGCTCCAGAAGGTCTACTGTCAGAGCGAGTTTTCGTATCGTCGGAGCGCGTTGTTTTCGTTGCGAAGAGAGAGAGAGAGAGAAGAAAAAAAAGGCGTGAAAAAAGGTATTTTAGGCCTTTTTTTAATTCTTTTTTGGGTTGAGGGGGTTTTTGAGAAGATGGTTGTTAATGGGAAAAAAGTGAGAGAGCATAATTGGAGGGGGGTAAATTGAATAGATAGTGTATATTGTTTTTTAGAAGAGCATTTTGAGCATTTTTAACAAATTGGCTGAGGAACTGCTTGGTTGAAAAGATTTTTCTGTAACTAACCACTGTTGAAGAAATAGTTTATTGGAGGTTATTTCTGGAGTTAATTTATTTTAATTGATGTTTTCTCATAGACATACTTTATTACAGATTTTAATTGATGTTTTCTCATAGACAAACTTTATTACAGAAGTAAACGAATTAGTAAACATTCAATGGTAGTGAGGTTCTCCTTATTTTGGGAATCTAAACTATAGGAATCCATGACATTAGGCGAGTGCTAAATAAATGCTAATATCTACGTGGCTAACTCTAAGATGAGATTTGTTAGTCGAAGCATATCAATATTATAAATGAAAAAGTATATAATAAGCATTTATTGTTGAGTGATTTCATACGAAACTTAAAATTTAGGTAAAATACAAAATACTCCATTTATCAACTCATCGTTTTTATTTTTTTCCAAAATTACCCTTTATTCAATCCGAATTTTGATTTTTGATTTTTAGTTTTTCATTAATAGGACAGTTCTTTAAACCTTGGGGCACTACCTAACGAAAAAACAAAAAAAAAAAAAATCAAATTCAGGTTGAACAATTTTAAAAAAATAAAATAAAATAAAATAAGATGACCATCCTTCTTTGCAATTTTCTTCTATAAGCATAACATTCTGTATTTTACCAAACATTTTAAAATCCATATGTATCCACTCTTTATTGTTTGGTAGAACCTCACAATCACTCTTTCACTACTTAGATTTAGATTTGCAATTGAGTGGTTGGTATGTACTATTGATCACTCTCAAAATTTAAAATAAAATTATTTTAATTCTATGACACTAAGCTGTTAAATTTAAGTCTAACTGCTATAAGTGGTAGCGGCTTTCTTTTCGGGCTGACGAGCTAAGCAGCTCATCCCAGCCCCAAAAAATTGGACTTGGGCCACAAAATTTGGCCCTAGAGTCGGGCTTTGGCCAAGGGCCAAAGATAACCAATTTTGTAACGGATATAACCGGATCTAGGGATATGGCCGGATCCTGATATATTACACGATCCAAAATGGTCGACAATTTTTTATCCGAATCGAACAATTCCGATCTGGATCAGCAACTTTTGAAACACCGGTCCTACCAGTCCGATCGCCAACTAGTGTTAAACCACCCATTTCTCCCAGAAGAAGAATAGCAGCCCAAGCACATAAAGCAGCATCTTTATCGAACAATCCACTTGTCCTAAGATCAAGAAAAGCAGCTAATACACATCAAAACTGTAATTGAAAATCTTAAAACACTCAATAATTATTGATTCTTTAGTTCCTTCAAAATAGTACACAACCAAAAGGCTCAACCACAAGTGACTTCACACCTCGTGGTTTGAGTTCTTTCGTGAGCGAAGGATGAGAGCAAAACCGCCCTCCCAATAACAGAAAAGGGAGGATAAAAAATTCCATACAGCCCCAAGAAGAACAGAAAAATGTAAAAAAGTCAACTGAATGGATCAGATAGTATCAGACTCCAAAAAAAAATTTAATATACTCTCAATAAAACTCGTACAGATGATTATTTCTGTAGAAATGACTCGCTCTTCCACGGTGGTGGCTCTCAAGAAGTGGCTGGAAGCTCCTTCTGAGCAGCGGCAGGTGCTGGAGTAACCCCTCCAGTAGTTGGGCTGTAAAAGAAGAGAAAAAGGTCATATGTTAGAATGGAAACCAGAACTACAGAAACAAATTATTATTCTATATTTTTCATTATGGAACATGTGTGCTCACATTCATGTGTGCATCTCCTAGAGTGAACAAGGGTTTAACAATATTAGATTATACAACCCAATGACCTCTAGACGAAGAACCATAGTCCAATTAGTTCATCACCTCCTGAAATTGGAGCGCATGGAGATAGATCGGACCCACCATCAGGCTCATGTTTTTTTCTGGTGAATCTGTTCATCGAATAATGCCCATTTCCTTCGCATCATGATGACCCAATAGGGCATGTTTTTACATAGACCATTTAATCATACTAATGCTTTCTTGAATTTCATATAACACATGCACACATACCATAAAATGTCTATGTGCATGTATTTGCAAATAAAAAGGACCAGAACCCCATGAGAAGAGTCAGGCACCACAAAAGGGCTCAGCAGGAACTGCAAAGGTTAAAACAAGGCAAAGATAGAGAAACGTACAGGCCAACAAACACCTTGAAGGCATCATAAATAACCCATTGTGCTCCAGTGAGGGTACCAATCATGACAATACGTAGAGGCAGGCCACGGGTGAAGAGACCCCAGACACCAAGCTTTTTCACGGCCTGCAAGACACCCCCCACAAGTCATTTGAGGATTTTATGGTCAATGTTTCGGAAAAGTACCATCACAATTGCGGATTAATGGTGTCAATTTCTGTAGTACCTAACATTGACAGAAATAGATGTACCCACAAGGACAATGAAAAAAGAAAGTGTTTTTCATTGACATAGGAAACTGAAATGACATGAAGACATAAGAAATACCATATGTTTCACAGATCATAATTTTGTTTATTCCCATTAAAGGATGAAAGAGGGTAACTACAAGAATGAAGTTTTCAAACTATAACTACTGTTCCCTTACAAGGAGACAGCGATCACAAAGAAAATGGGGAAGAGCTGAACTTATTTCTTAGGTCATTTAAGAGGTTCAAAACACCTTACAAAATCATTGAGGGGGTCAAAACATCCCTTTTAATGCTAGCTGGTACTTTTAAATTTTCATTACTTTTAAACTTGCATTTTACTCAGGTGCCTCAAAGAATATCTTCAAACACTCCCAATTTGCCCCCTGTTCAGGGCTGGGAACGACGAACAAGAATGTGCATTTCAGTAATACAGCCCACCTAAGAGGCCCCAAGATCGGAGAAGCCCTGCTTGTTAAGGGTGGGTCAAATTACTGAAACACCCCTGCTTGTTCAGGGTTCTCAATCTCGATCAAGGGCAATTTAGGCCTTTTTGAAAAACCTTTTTTAAGGAGGTACCTGTGTGAAAATCGAAAACCCTCTCTATTCATTGGGATTTTTTGACCCCTTGAAAGATTTTGTAAGGGGTTTTGACCCCTTAAATGATATTTCCCTATTTTTTAAAAGATTGCTTCAATTACTGGGTGGTGTAACAGTATATTAAAAGCATCTTAAAGAGCACGGATCAAGAGCTCATGTTTCGCAGTATGAAAAGAATTGGATGCTCTGGGTCAGTAAAAAGAAACATGAAACAAAGTTACAGAACCAGTAATTTAACAGATAATGAAAAACTTGCACCTTAGCACAGTTATCATCCAATAAAAAAAAATACAAATATGCAACGACTTAATTTGTAATATACATAAGCAGGTGTTTAATCTTTCTTTTTTAATAACTTAAGAAGGTGCTCAAACCAAGACAGAAAACTCACATCACCCACTGTGGCTCCCTTGGCGTTGTTAAGGAAGGAAACAAGATTATCGGCAGGATGAGAAACGATGGCACAGAAAACACCAGCAATATATCCACCACCGAAGCTCACGGTGAGCTGTAGTGGCTTACTGCACTGGTCCTTAGGCATAGGGATCACGTACTTGTACATCATCTCCACAGTGGTCTCAAAGGTTGCGAACTTCATCATGGTGTCTGTAACAAGCATTGACTAGTTAGTTTGACAATGAAATTTCAAGAAGAAAATAAAAAGTAAAAAAGAAACAACTAGAAGCGAATCAATTACTAAAAAATACGAGAACTGATTAGCTTGCTGATCATGCAATCTCCAATTCTTGAACACAATACGAGAACTGATTAGCTTGCTGATCCTGCAATCTCCAATTCTAGAACACACACTAACATGTTTACTAAAACAAGTTTCCATATTAGACAACGGGAAAAAGAAATCAAACAAGTCAAGTGGAAAAAGAAGGAAACAAGCAATCAAATATTACACACCAGAATTGGTTAGCGCTTGACAATTTGCAATGCCACGTGCTAGGCTCAATTCCTACCAGGGTAGGGGGGCCCTCTCCCCACTGACTCACCCAAAAAACAAAAAAATTATTGCACACCAACTTTAACAGCACAACATTTCAAATCATTTTCAAACAGATTGGTTGTTATGGCAATACTGCCTGGAGATAATTATGCTCAAAGCCCAAACAAAGAATTAGGATAAGTTGCAAACCCTAGAAGGTGTATCCACACTTTAATGAATTTGCTCAATCAAGTTACTCCATTGAAGCCAGATATGCTTTTGACAAAATTCCTAAATGGTAATGTGCACTCCTGGTTGTTCAACAGAAAGGCCCCTAACTTAGACATTGTACCATATTAACAATTAAGAACGTACTTACAATAAATTTAATTTATAAAAGTAGCTCACAATTTCAAGGAAGGAAAGGGCGATTTATCCCATATTATTTCGTTTTATTTTTTGAAAAGTAAATGATATTAAAAACTCTAATAATTTTCGGTGTTACGATGCTGCAAAAGAAAAAAGAATAGATAATTTATGAACTAATTTGTCAACTAATTTAGAAGAATCAGAACACAAATATATATTTTTCCAAAGTAGACTTATCTTGAGGCTCTTAATCACCACAGCCTCAAGCCTAAAAAATTATTGATGATCAGGGTACTCGAATATTAGATAAGTAAGACAATTGCCTCTGCAAATACCTCATTTAAAGCTGGATTAAGATCAATAATATTTTAATATAATGTATAACATTTTTTACATAATATGATACAAAAATGATCTAATAACACAATCTCTTGTTCCAAATGTGGATATTATATCAAGAACAAACGACTAGAAAGTTTATTTATTCCAGGGGACAGGCCAAGAATGGGCCCCAGGACCCCCAAGCATATTATGAAACTTTTAGGGTATTGGTACCACCTCCTACATGAAATTTGTCAGGCCCATTTAAGAATCCGAAACTTATGATATTGGTAAAATAAAAGCCAGAAAAAGCATGTTGGGATAGGAGCATTAAAACATTGCAGTAGAGGGCTTAAGTCTGCGACAAGGTGCATATAACTGGTAGCCACTACAAAAAATAAAAGACAAGATAGAAAGGAGCGTTATAAGCCCAATTAAAATGGAAAAAGGCAGGGGGGGGGGGGAGGGGAAGGACTTGGAAACGAAGGAAACGAACATGTAGCAAGCAATCGATAATAGACATGAAAACTTTCTACAATAATCTAAGCACCAAATAACATTTTCAAAGCATCAGATTAAGAAAAAGTACATCATGATTCAATGGAGTAGAGTTCACTGAAAGCTTCTACAGTCTGCCAGCAGGAATAGATGACAGACTCCCTATGGCATAAGGCATATGCCAGCCCTTAAACAAATGGACATCTATTTAACATAGCCCCCACAGAATATACATCTTCACCATCTATGCGTCTACAGCCAACTACATATCCATAGCACAAAAAGACTAAATCGAGAGGATCTAAGAAATATTTGATGCTTACATGGAATTTGACGTCCCCAAAGTGGAAGTATTCCCTTATACAACCTGCAAAAATTCAAATCTTCTTAGCTACTAATCAAATGTATCGAAAAAAGAGATTAAAACACTGAAAAGTCAAGAGCATACCCAAGTACACCCTCAGACTTAACAAACTTGGGGAGCCCATCAGACAACCCTCTGCCAAACCCAGGTTGTGTTTGAACTCGGACCTTCACTGCCTCCATAGGGCACAGAGCAACATCAGCAATAACCTCAGCAGAAGCGGAACCAGCAAGGTAAATCAAAGTCTTGTACTTGGCAGCATACTCAGGGCCAGCAATGTCAGCATAGTATTTCTTGAAGAACTCATAAAAACCGAACTTGCAGGCACCCTGGGCACTGTAACCAAGCAAAGTTGGCACCCAACCACGGAAGAAACCTCTAACTCCTTGTTCTTTCAATAATACCCCAAAACCAGATGATATGCTCTTATATTTCTCAGGACTAATCTGAGAACAAATACAATTGGGAATTATAAGTCCAACTAAAAAGAACATACCGAATACAAAATGTCAATAATTGACACAATTATAACACAATGTCAGAAATTGATATACTGGATTCACTCCAATTTGAATACAAAATCAAGCATATAGTAAACTCATAATTTCAGGAGATTTGACGAGTGAACCAAATAAACCTGAAAATGAAGGAACCCAAGTGTCTTAATTTATAACAAATAGCTCAAAGAAATTTGAAGCAAATCCAGAAGAAACAGGGAGCTAATGAGATTTTAGACCCTAAAGGGAATCCAATATCTAAAGGGAATCAAATACGCATAAAAATCCACTGAAACCCTGATCAAACAAAAAAGTAAATAGAAACTTGTGATACCTGAAAGCCACACAACTAGTGGAACCTCTAAATAAATACAGGGAAAAGTATATATAGAGCCGAGGCTCTAAACAACCAAATTTGAGCCTACCTCGAAAATTTTACTAGAAGAGGTTGTTTTTTGATGCCCAAATATCTTCAAATTTATCATCTCGACATCAAGATGCATATACATGAGAAAAAAATAGATTGCAAGTTTTGGAAATAGTGTATTTTGTAGCGCATTTTTGGACCGTCAATTTTCAAAATTTTAAAGTTCTCATAGATATGTTGATCTACACTATTTTTGAAGCTTTAAACTTTAAAAATAAATACGAAACTATATTTTAAGGCTATCACAAAGATTTCCAATATTGAAACCACATTTCTCAACACCATTTGAAGATAGGCTCTAATTAGATTGTTTAGAGCCTAGGCTCTATACAAACCGCACCCATAAATAAATAACTATATTTCGAAATACAGATTGTTAACAAGATGGAAAAAATAATAATCAGGACTCACGTTCGTTTAATAATAAACACCAAACTCAAGTTAAAACTCGAATAAGAAACTGAGAGACAACCCATACCAATAAAATTCAACAAAAGCCATGGCTAACTAGAGAGACAAAAAAACCTCAGATTCATTTCATTATGGAGCGCAACCAATAAAAAACTAATCACCAAAAAACAATAAAAGGAACCTAACTGCAATCCCAAATCCACATCATATTCAGAAACCCTGATTAGCCAAAATCAAAAGAAACATCTAAATAACCCCAAAATCCAGAAGAAATAATGCAGATCCAAACAAAAATGGGTACAGAAAATCAGAAATCCACTAATTCCACAGAAGTTCTAGTTAAGCCAAAAGCCAAGAGGAAATCTCAAATATCGTTCAAAGAACTGCAAACAATCTGGAAGATAGAAAAGTCAGCCAAGTCCTTGCACTCCATCGAGTCAATCGAGCACAGCACCTTGCCAAACCAAGAACCCACCCGCCACCCCGCTTCCAGACACACACACACAGGGGGAGAGAGAGCACAAGGGAGGAAGAGAAAAGAGAGGGGGGAGGAGAGAGAGAGAGAGAGATTGTATTTTTTTCTGTTTTTCTTTTTTCTTTTTTTTTGGGGGGGGAGGGGTGAATTGCTATAGTAACTTGTCCAGGTACTGTAGCATCTTGGCAAGTTCTTGACAAACTCGCTGAATTCAATGAAATTTCAGAAATATGAGGGGCGTGAGCAATCTGATTCCCCTTTTTTTTCCCATTTCCACAGCCAAGCATCAGAAGAGCCCAAACTTCAGGATAATGCTTGTTTTCGCATTATTTACTGATTGAATAGATCAAATTTCAGATATAAAAATAGAATTTTACAAATTTGGGATATCTAAAATTTTGTTCTAAGTTTTGGCCTATTCAAAAAGCCACAATTTCCTTGCAACCATTGTTTGATCTTTGAAGAAAATTTTTACTTTTTGGGTCTTTCATTAAATCAAAATCATGTTTCTCAAAAAAAAAAAACCCTAAAAACTCATATTTGCAAGATTTGTATTTCACATTTCCTATCACCAAAAAATTTTCAAGAGCTTGCATCACCTAGACCCAAATTGTCCAAAATCTAGTTGGGGCATTTTGATTTAGGTTCCTTGAGGACAATGTGTTAAACAGTGGAGGATTAGCCCCGATATTTTGCGCAAATTTCATTTTGTCAGTTTAAATTCATATGATTGATTTTATTTTAACTGAAGTTCACTTGGTCAAGTAATATATCAGCTAATGTTGTATTTTACTTTTTTTTTGCATTCTATAAAAGAAGATGAGTTATATTCAATTTTTTAAATTTTCATCTATACCACAAGATTTTTTCCATTTATACAAAATTAAAATTCTAGGTATTTATAATGTTCGTTTTTTATATATACATACATAAACATTAAGTACTATAATGTTCTCTTTTGTTCTCCATATTGTATATACATTTTAAGCTATTTTACTTTTCTATTTTCTACGATTTTCCACTTTTTTTGGGATTTTCCTGGCTTTTCAGCCAACTCGAGGCAAACCTGTCACTCTGGCAGGCCTGCCTTCCACCCAATTTGGAGTTTACTAACCTTGATAGAAATGGTAGCTAAAAGAAAAGCCAAACCCAAAAAAACTCGACACGAACCAAGGCTAAAACAAATTTGAGAGCATAAAAATCAAACCTCATTCACACAAATTCAACAGAACAAACTCAAAAGCAATATGCCAATATGAAAAGTGAAAACAAATGAATTTAGAAGATTCCCTGGTCAACCAAAACTAATAGACTTCAAAACAAATGTCAAACTCACTGAGAAAGCCCAAACCATTAATAGAACGACTAACTAGCACAAAAATGGAGAGCCAAAAGCATCAAAACCTGAAAAGGTTCAGCAGAAAGCCAAGTTACCTCTAATAAATGAAGTATAATGATAAACAAAGTAGATCACAATTTTCAAAATAGAGGACAAGATCAATATATACCCTACAATAACTTTCAGACATCCTGATGAACCAGATAAAAAAAAAATCAGCGCAGATCCCAGTAAAACATGCCCAGAAAAAAAAACACATTCCAAAACAGACCCATAAATCAATACAAAAACCACAGCAGTCAAACATATTCATATCAAACCATAAAATGAACAAAGTACCATACATTTGATCCAGAAAGAAGATGAAATTCAATAAAAAAAACCCTACCTATCCAGAACCCAGATAACAAAACCAAAGCAAGATCAGAATCTTGATAAGCCCTAATTTATGCAGTTAGACCTTCATCAAAATCATAGACATCCAAACAAAAATGAAATCCTGACCTCAAACCAACCTGCATATTGCACTTGACCAGATCCAGAGGTGTAACAGCCATGTGAGTGAGACCACAACTGAGGATTCCACCAACTGTGCAAGCAGCGTAAAACTGAGGGGAATACATTTCGATCTTGCCTGGTTCAAAAGGTGCAGGTACCACAAATCCAGGGTTTCTGGCCTTGCCAGCAACCATGGGTTCATTAAAATTAGGGCTTTTAGCCTCATTTCCGGCCAAATCTAGGGCCTTTTTTGAAGAAATGGAGTAGAGAAAACTTGGAACCAGTGATTGTCTGGTGTTCTTGTCGTACAGAGCCATGGCGCCTGGAGCAATAGAGAATGGGAGGGTTGAGGCGAAGAAACTAGGGTTTTTTTAGAGAGAGAAGGGCCGAAGAGCGAGAAAATGGCCAAGAAATGAGGAGCGAGAAAGAAGAGAGAGACAGTGACTCGCCTCTTTTGCGCTCTCTTCTTCGTCCGCCCAAATACGACGACCTGTGACCTTTTTGTGGGCCGTATTTATTCTGAGACATCGAATGTAAATGCCATTGATGTCTTACTCAATTGCGATAATAGCCCTATGAGTAGGTGACTTTGTTTTGGTTTCTTCATTCAAATTGGACCCTCCAACATGGAATTACCAAATTAGGGAAATCTATCGCCTCTAAAATTTCACATTAATTAATAAATTGGGTGTGGCTTGTTCAAGGTATAGTCTTAAACAATCAAAATATCATCTCTAAAATTTGATGTAAGAAGAAATTTTACAATCGAAAATCTTTAAAGCTCCAAAAATAATACAAATCGAGTCAATTTATGAGCACTTGATAATCCTAAAACTGTCCAAATAATATATTACTTCAATTTGTTTTTTTCATATCTATACATCTTGATGTCAAGATGATCAACTACAGGTTTTTTAACATTTGAAGAAGAACTTTTTTCAATAGGTTTTTGCCATATGTTGTAGTTTTAAGGCATAAAGTTGACTCTTTATATAAGTTTTTTCTTAAAAAATTTTCCTATTTTCTACTATTTTTTACCAAATCGTGCCTTTTACTGTGATTTTTTAAACTAAATAAAAATATAAAGTATCAAATCGTTCATATCTCCAATCCTTTCCAATAAATTCTTCAAAATTTTATTTACCACATTGCTTTTCCCAATCTTGTGGGATGCTTTAATTTTAGATTATAAAAAACCAGAGGCTCGAAATAATTAAGATCTGACCATTTTCATTTGGAATTACATTTTCCTTTTTTTTTTCTAAACGAATTATTCCTCATTATTGCTGGAAATCACTTGAAAATTTCGGTTTACCTAGAAACTAGAAGGGAAGGCAAGGTCTAGCTTGGAGTTCAAGCATGGAAGTGCATTGTTCACAAATAATTGTGTGTTTGATGCTACAAAAAGAAAAAGAATGGAGGAAAAGAGGGTACACTTTCAAGTATCTAGAGAATAAGCGATGGATATAAACCAATGTTTTAAAAAACGCCGAGTCGAACCGGACTCGCCCGATTCGACTCGGAAATCGCAATGGGGGGATCGTATCGGCTAAAAAATTGGGAATCGCCCGGTTCTAGAGAGAACCAGATGATTCTGCACAGTGACTCGCCACTCGGCGGAATCGGCGAGTCCGTGAAGAACACCGGTTGTACAGTGTTCTTCACGGGATTCTGTGAAATTTGTCATTTTTTTATCATTTTTTTTGTTTTTTTGGGCATGTGATCTAATTTGCAGGCTGTAAACAGCTTTATTCAGCTTTTTCAAGGATTAAATGGTTGAAAAATTTGGTGTTTTTGGTTCACGAAACTTGCTTTTTTAGGGTTTCCGCCTTTTCTGAAAGTTTCATGCCAAATAGGGCATGAATCTTTCAAAATTTGTAGGCATTTTGATCGTAAAGCTGTGAATCAAAACCTTTTGTTACTAATTTGTGATAATCGTTGAGAAAAACAGAGTTTTTTATCTCAGGCTAATTTTGAGGTTGCCGACTATAAGCTGCCTCAGGTTGATGGTGTGACTAACTCACAGGTTGATGTTGCTGCTACAGAGTCCATAGAGGCCATATTAAGTTAGTCTAATACTCAAGGTCTTCCCCAAAATTCTGGTTTGGCTGCTGGCCGCAAATTGCAATCAAGGACTCGTGGTGGTGAGACTCCTATTTCGTCAAATCTTGGGGATACAAAGAAGGCTTCACTAAAAAATCAATGAACCTTGAAGGATGTGGTGCCAACTAGTGGAGGAAAGTCTTTCTCCATATGTAAGCTTTATACGCAACAATCTTATGTCTATTAGCTCTTAGAATGTTTCTTGGAATGTTTGTGGTTTGAGGGGCTCGGGTAGGTCTCGGATATTGTTGAGTTAGTTAATAAGGATAATGTTGGACTAATATTTCTTTTGGAAACTAAACTCTATATTGATTTGGTTGGAAGTTGGGCTAGAAAATTGAGTTTATATAATAATGTAGCAGCCAATGATGTAGAGGGTAAATCATGTATTATGGTTTTATTGAACCCTGGTATTTTTTCTGTTAATGTGATGAATATCAGCGATCAAATGATTACTGTTCAGGCAACTCGTTTATGCAATGGGTGCACCTTAACAGTTTCGGGTGTATATGTGTTTACTACAGTTGGTCAGAGGGCAGCTCCTTGGGATCAAATGCGAAGTATTTGTATAGCTACCAAGGATTCTTGGTTAGTTCTTGATAACTTCAATATAATATTGGATAATTCTAAAAAAAGGGGGCAGTGATTCTTTACTATAGGAGTCCTATGAATTTGCACAAGCTTTGGCTGATTGTACATTAACTGACTTAGGTTTAATAAAGAGGTGGTTTTCCTGGTCTAATAACCAAATTAGGGGAAGATGTATCAAAGAACGTCTTGATCGAGCCGTAGCAAATATGGAATAGGTTTTGTCCTACTCAGAGTCTAAGGTAGAATTACTTCCTAAGGGTAATCCAGAGCATTACTTGCTATTGGTTACACTATCAACCTAGATACCAGCTGGACCGAAGTCCTTCAAATACTTTACAGCTTGGCAGCTATTCCCAGATTTTCTGGATTTTATCATTGAGTCATGCCGAATTAGAATGGTGGGTAGCCTATGTTCCAATTTGTGTCAAAACTTAAAAGATTAAGGACATGACTCAAGGATTGGAATATAACTTCTTTTGGGCATGTGGACCATCAGATTGCTAATACTAGAAAAAAGTTATTTCTTTTACATGATGATTTAAGTCAGAACGCCTCCAATGAGGATCTCATGGTCGAAGAGAAATACTATCTCATGAAGAGAGCATGTGGAGACAAAAATCTCGCCAAACTTGGTTGAAGGATGTTGTTTTCGCTTGTCCACCAATTTTAAGAGAAGAAATGACAGGCTCACCCACTTGAAGGATCAAAATGGGGTCTCTATCACTTTTGAGGAACAAATTCAGGATCACATGGTTGGCTACTTTGAAGAGTTACTGGCTCAAGAAAGTAACAATGACCTCAGTTTGGCTGATCACTTTCTTCCCCCTTTGCTACTTAGTGAAGATCAGAGAAGAGAACTTATAAGGGCGGTGATAATAGAGGAAGTCAAAGATTGTATTTGGGGAATAAAAAGTGAGAGCGCTCTAGGCCGGATGGCTTTACAATTGAATTTTATAAATTCAATAGGGAAGTGATCAAAAAAGATCTTTTCTTAGCCCTCCATGATTTTTTTAAAAAAAAATGTAAGTTCTTAAAGCAGATCAACTCCACATTTATATGCCTTATAACGAAGGTCAATTCCGCTAGTGCTATGAAAGAGTTCAAACCAATTGGTTTGTGTAAATGTCCTTTATAAAATCATTAGCAAACTCATTTCTAATAGATTGAGAGAGGTGTTGCATACTTTAATTGATTACAAACAAGCTGCGTTCCTGAAAGGGGAATTGATCATTGATAATATTTTGATGGCTAATTAGATCATTGCTCTATGCCATAGAAATTCAGTCAAGTCTAAGATGTGTCTTCAGTTAGACCTAAGTGGTGCCTATGATCGGGTATCTTGGGACTTTGTTCTTGCTAGGATACAAGCTTCGGGTTTCTTGAATCTTTTTGTTTGCTGGATTTGACACTATATAACTTCTCCCTCATTCTCAGTGCTTCATAATGGTTCTTCTAGGGGATATTTCAGAGGCGAGAGGGGCTTACGGCAAGGCAACCCCTTATCTCCATACTCTTTTTTGTTAGTTATGGATTTCTTGAGCAGGCAATTGGATCATGCAGTGCTGTAAGGATCTCTTCCTGTGGTTTTTTCTTTTAGATGTGATTATGAGGTTACTCATTTATTTTATGATGATGATGCAATTATTTTCTATGACGCCTCTTTCGGAGCAGCAAGACAAATGAATTCTATTCTATCTATTTTTTAAAATGTTATAAGGCAAAAATTAAATGTGAATAAAAGCAAAATATTTTTAATTGGGGCATCCATGAGTACCAAACATGTGATTTTGATGCAAGCTGGTTACAACACTAGACTTTGGGGCATCCATGAGAACTAGTGGACTAGACTTTGGATGAAAGTGAAGGATGCTCCAATTTCTCTTAAACACCAACCATATTTTTTGGTTTGGATTCACTCTTCAAATGGAGCCTTTTCAATTAAAGAAGCCTGGAATTATATTTGACGTAAGGGTTCCTCTCAGCCTATTTTCATGACATTATGGTCTTCCAAGTGTCACCCTAAGGCTAAGTGGTTCTCGTGGCTGAGCCTGCATCACCGCCTTCCTGCTTCTTTTCTCATACAACAGAGGGGCATTACCCTCGCCATTGTATGCTCTTTTTGCCTCTCTAATGACGATAACATTTGTCATATGTTGCTTGAGTGTTTTTTTTCGTACGGAGTTTGAAGATTGATAGCATGGAGATGTGGGAAATGTTTTATCCTGGATTGCTCTATTGCAGCATCTTTAAGAAAATGGCCAACTTTTAAATTCAAGTCTAATGGCATTAGTAATATTTGGCTATCTCTTTTCTTCACAATAGTTTGGATGATTAGGGAGGAGTGTAACCATTGAATGTTTCAAGGGAAGAAACTCGAGAGAGAGCAATTGATTAGAAGGGTTACGTCCCATATTCGTGACTTAGTAGATAATAAGGCCTGGTCATATCGTAACTCAGAGAAGGCAATTACTGAAGACCTACGATTCACCTGGCAACAATAAAGGATCAAGCTAACAAAAGCAGTGGCATGGACATTTCCAGATGCGCAACATTTCAACTTAAATGTTGATGGACTTCTCTTTGAAATCTAGGCAGAGCAGGTTGCAGGGGTGTCATTAGAAATGATGATTGTTCTTTCATTGCTACTTTCTCTATCTCTTGAGGCATGGCTTCAAATAATTGGGCGGAATTCCGTGGTTTAGAAGCAAGTGTTGATTTAGCTATTCAGATGAAATGTTTTCCCCTCCAAATTGAAAGTGATTCATCCTTGCTGGTTCAGGTTATACAAGGCAGCTACAAATCTCCTTGGGCACTTCATACCATAGCTGCTGATTGCAAGTCCCGACTTGAGGATTACTCATGGTCTATTTGCCATGTTTCTGTGAGGGCTAATATGGTACCAGATGCACTGGCTAAAAAGGCTATAATTTTCGCAGAGGCTACCATTTGGCGCTCTTGGCCTCTAGACTTTCTTCACCTTCCCTTACTTCATGATGTGGTGCAATTACCCTATTGTAGGATTGTAAGATAGTATGATGTAATTTTTTCCATTTTTATTAATGAAAACTGGGCCAAGGGGCTACTCCCCCAAATTTTTATGCCAAAAAAAAAAAAAACTGTGATAGTCTTAAAATATATTTCATCTCTAATTATAAAATTCCAAGCTTAAAAATAGTGCAGATCGAGCAGATCTACGAAAACTTAAAAATCTTGAAAATTGACGGTAAAAAAATGCATTATAAGATGCACTATTTCTAAAACTTGAAATCCATTTTTTTGTCATGTTCATACATCATGATGTTGACGATTAATATGAGGATATTTTGGCATCAAAACAACCTCTTCTAGTGAAATTTTTGAGGTTGCTCGAATTTGATTGTTTAGAGCCTCGCACTTATATAAATTTTTCCTTTATTTTTTTGTTAAAAAAGATAGAGAAAAAATAAATAAAGTTGTGCATTTAATATGGTGAAATATCCCATTATTTATTATTTCTTATACTTGAGTTATAAAAAATTGAGTGAACATTCAAGTAAGGGTGTGGTTTGTCTAAGGTTGGCCCCTAAACAATCAAAGTAAGGCACACTTTCATATAGTATTAAAAGATGTTGTTTCAGTACTGGAAATCTTTGTGATGCTTTAAAAATTTATTTTCATATCTAATTATAAAATTTAAAGCTTCAAAAAATGGTGTAGATCGAGCACATCTATGAATACTTGAAGAACTTGAAATTTGACTGTCCGAAAATGTATTACAAGATGCACTATTTCTATGACTTAAAATTCATTTTTTCTCATGTCTATATATCTTGAGGTCGAGATGATCAATTTGAGGATTTTTTAGATGAACAACTTCTTTTAGTGAACTTTTGAGGCGTGTCTTAATTTTTGATTGATTAGAGCCTCATCATTATATAAACCTTTTCCTTCAAATAAAAAGTTTGGATAAAAATGTATGACTTTATGAATAATTGAAAAACTAGTTCTGAAAAACACCCAACGGTATTCCTATGCTTTTATTTTGAGTTTCCAAAATTATATGGAGAAATTACACCCGGAGTTAATACCTAATTCAATAGGGCTATTTATGTAATATTTAGCTTAACCAAGGGACTTTGAATTGCTTACGTGTGCGCTAACGAATATTCCTGCAATTCTCGAACGGCATTGGACGCCTTTATGCTCCAGGAGAATTGTTCTTCGCCACGAGCACACCGTTGCAAGTACCAAGAGGCGGCCCACGTAAGTAAGTTTTAAAACTCTTTTCTCACAAAAATAACGCCCACTCTCGTTAAAATATTTGCGAGGATGCCCTTCCAGGGTATTTTGCATGACCCAAACCCTATTTTCATCTTAGCTAAGCAATCCAATACTATAAAAAAGTCGGGATTTGTGTGACAACTCCATCTCATTAGGGGTGGCAATGGGTTGGGTGGACCTTAAAAAAAACTAAAGTTTGGGGTCACATAAATTAATTTTCCATACTCTTTCAAATAAAATAAAAAGAAGCAAATCAATTTTGACTTATTTGAGTTGTGATTGTAACGTCTCATGATCTCTCGAGCGGCATCGTACGTCTTCTTCTCCCCACTTTTTGGTCCATTACATGGAAGGGTGTGCATAAATTTGACCATTTATCACCTCCCAATTTTTGGTCAATCCAACTGACCTTTTGTTTTCATATGTTGGTCTACATACGTTTCGAGAACTTCATGGTTTGAACTTTGAACAACTCTCCTTCCTCATTCAAACAACATGGATGAAGGGGACAACTCGAGAAGGGGCTGGTAATTTATTTATGGGAAAATATCTACACTATCTATTTTGGTGTACCATTTTTTTTATAGACTCATGGATTTAAAAACTTTTTGACTGCATAGGTTTTTTTAAAAATATATCATTTAACCAGTGTACCTAATTTATCCTTTTTGATGGCTCGTTTTTTGTCCAAACAAAAACTAAAAAGACATCTATCTGTCTATTAAACTTCTTTTTATACAATGTCTTTCTCTCTCCATTACATCTCTCTCCTTGTGAATCCTTTTCTACCGAAAGTAGCTAGAGGAGTAGATACTGTGAAGACATTGTATAGAGAGAGGTTTAGTAGACAGAGAGATGTCTTTGCAGTTTTTATTTGGGCAAAAATGTGCAGACAAAAGAGGTAAATTGGGTCGAGGTTAGATGATATATTTTTTTAAAAACCTATGCCACTATAAAAATTTTAAAACCCTGAATCTACAGGGAAATGATACACCAAAATAGTTATACCGAGATACTTCCCTTTATTTATTACTTTCTATATTCCACCATCGAATTATGGAAATTAAGAATAATTTAGAAATACTGGTAGGAAAAAAAATAAAGAAAAGAAAAAAAGAAAGAAGAAAAATATTTAAAATCTATAAAGTTCATTTGAAAATATTTGAAATAATATACATTAAAAATCTATGAAAATTATTTGAAAAGAAAAAAAAAAAACAAGAGACCACCATGTTGCTGGTCAAATTAATTTTTTGGTTCAGATTTAGCTAAGCGAAAATACTTAACCCTAATTTTACACGTTGCGTTTAGGTCCTGTGTATTTCCCAGCGAGTTGAAAACAATGGCAACTCCATTATTCTTTAGTGAAAAAAAAAGGAAAGAAAAGAAAAATGTCCCCTTGTATTTCCCATCCAGTTGAAAACAATGGCAACCCCATTATTCTTTAGCGAAAAAAAAAGAAAAAAAAAAAATATAAAAGTTGTGTACTTAATACGATGAAATTATCCCTCTATTTAATTATAGAAAATGGTTTGATAGGGCTGCATTTCTATCAAGTTAAATAAATCCTCACTTCATAACTCAATGAAAATTGCAAGTCAAGTATTGGAAAACCTTTAAGTCGATCATCTTGATTTGAACATTATATGATTGTGAAAAAGACTAAAATTTCAAGCTCGAAAAATAATGTATATTATAAGAACTTATCTAGACGGACCATTTTACTTTAAAAATAAGTGTTCAAAGATCCGCAATATTTGTACATATGTTTTTAGCTTCATATTTATTGTCAGTATTGAAAATTGATTTTAAAGCTATCATAGAGATTTCAGTCGTCGAGAGTACTTTTCAAAGGAGGATTTGAGGTGAGGCATTGCTTTGTTTTCATAAAGCCTAGAACTTATAAAAACGTCATCTATTTATTATTTCTTATACTTGAGTTTTGATAAAAGATTGAATGAACATTCAAATAAAAAGTTTGGATAAAAATGTACCGATATAAAAATTAAAAATACTACTTATGAAAAACCGCCAACGATATTTCTGTGTTTTTATTTTTTCTTGTTTTATTGAGAGTTTTTAAAAATTAAAAATACTAATTATGAAAACTGTTGATGATATTTCTATGTTTTTGTTTTTTCTTGTTTTATTTAGAGTTTTGTTTCAAGAGATCAAAATTTTAAATATATGAAGAAATTACACCATTTGTTAAACATCATCATCAAAGTCTTTTTTCAGTTAATTGGGGTCTGCTTAAAGGTGAAGTTTACCCATAAAAATTCATTCACTAGAGCTATTTATGTAATACTTAGCATAATCAAGGGATTTTGAATTACTTATGAGTGCGCCAGCGAATATTCCAGGAACCCTAGAACATCATTGTACGCCTTTATGGGAGCAACTAATTCACCGTTGAAAGAAACTACCAAGAGACGGCCCACGTAAGTTTGAGACTCAATCCTCACAAAAATAACGCCTACTCTCGTTCAAATATTTGCAACGATGCCCTTCCACGGAATTTTTCCAGGCCCAAACCCTATTTTGATCTTAGTAAACAATCCAATGCACCAAGTATAAAAAAAAGGTCGGGATTTTTGCGAGAACTCAATCTTATTAGGGGTGGCAACTCGGAGCAGTCAGTTTAGCCCTGTCTTAAAAAAAACTAGGGTTTGGGTCACATGATGTGTAGCCTGAGGGAGGCCCGCGACTCTTGGTAGCCCATGCCAACACAGGCTAAAATTGGTAGGCCCAAAACATTTGGGGATATATATTTCATATATTTTGCGAGAACTCAATCTTACTAGGGGTGGCAACTCGGAGCAGTCAGTTTAGCCCGGTCTTAAAAAAAAACTAGGGTTTGGACCGCATGATGTGGCCTAAGGGCCGGGACAAGGCGACGCTTGGTAGCCCATACCAACGCGGGCTAAAATTGGTAGGCCCAAAACATTTGAGGATATATATTTCATATAGTAAATAACATTTGCATAGCTATACATAGACTGGCCTCGCCCTATCTTTTTTTCTTACCAGGCTTGCCACTCGGTCAATGCTTGTAATTATGAATACAGAACAGCCCAGTGATCGGCCCAAAATTAAATTTCTGGGCGTAGGCAGGGCCTACTACCCTATACTACCTCGGGCTAGGCTCGGTCTAGGGCCTGCCGTTAACGACCCTACATCGAATAGATCAATTTGTGTGGAGGTTTACCTGAGGAGTTAGCATGAAAGTTTACAATAGATGGAGTTAGTCCCTAAGTGATATTATATTCACAATGACACAGACGTAACCCAAAAAGGTGAGATTAAGAAGTAAGAAGACATGAAGTTGAAGTAATTTTTGGATCGCCATTAAAGAAAATTCTATTTTGGATTAAATTTTGGAAAAATTTAGGTACGGCATCAATGAGTTATAAGATGTGAGAAAGTAAACTTAAATGGGCTGGTCATGTGTGATGTAAACCCCAATGCATCACCTGTTAGGAAGTCCGAATTAACTATAGTGGAAGGCTCCAAAAGGGTAGAAGGTAGGCCCAAAAAGACGTGGTTGGAAGTAGTGAGAAAACATATGGGGACTTTTATTCTCAAAGTGGGCATAACTCTTAATAAAGCACGTACCACGATTCGTATTGCCGACCCTAATTAATTGGAAAAAGACTTTGACGATGAAGAAATGAAAATATTTAGCACGTTTGATAACAATTTTCACCTAGATACTTTTCAAGAATAACCAATTTTGACCTTCTTGAGTTTTTTTTGGTGATTCACCAGAGATGATGAACTCCTACTTCTTCTTTTTTTCTAATCGTTAGTGGTTTTCAAATGCATTAAGTGAAAATAAATGTCTAGGCCTTAACTTAGGCACAAATAGTGATACCACCGCAACCCCAACCCCAACACATTATCATTTTGACTACTTAAGACTATGATTGTAATGGCTCACGATATCTCGAGTTGTATCGTAGGTACCCTTCTCCCAACTTTTTGGTTCAATAAATGGGAAGGTGTGAATAAATTCGACCTTCTATCGTCTCCCAAGGTTTGGTCAATCCAATTGACCTTTTATTTTGTGAGGTAGTCTACAGAGATTTCGACAACTTCAAACGAACTTCATGGTTTGAACTTTGACCGGCACTCCTTCCTCGTTCAAACAAGGTGGACGAAGGGGACAGCTGGACAAGGGACTGGTAATTATTTATGGAAAAATTTCTTCGTAGATCTTATTTTGGTTTACATTTTTTTTATATAAATTCTGGATTTTAAGACTTTTTGGCAATATGAGTTTTTTTAAAAATATATATTATAATCCCTAGATTCCGTTTGCTCCTTTTTGGCTATACGTTTTGCCCAAATAAAAGCTAAAAAGACACTTCTATTGACTACTAAATATCTCTATACAACTTCTTTATTTCTTTCTCTATAACATCTCTATCCCCCTTTGTGAATGGATATCTACCTAAAGCCGCTAGACGAGTAGATGACTGTGAAAGTAGCTTCCGACACACCTGAGAAAAAGATAAATATAGACTTATAGAAAGGTTTAGTAAAAAAATAGAGATGTTTTTTAAGATTTTGTTTGGGCAAATGGTTAAAAGCAGCAAATTGGGTGGATGAAGTTAAAAATATATGCTTTTCAAAAAATCTATGAGGCTAAAAAGTTTTTAAAACCCTAGGTCTATAGGAAAAATAGTATACCCTACACCTAAATAAGATATACGGATGTATTTTTCTTTTATTTATTTGTTTCTATTATGATAGCGTTTTTTATAATTAAGGAGCATATGCCATAAGCATATTGCAATCTACTATGTGAATAAAATGACCTATATGGGAGAAACTTTCAGTTTAAAATTTTGGAAATCACCAATAATCACTAGATGATTATTTTTAAAGGAAAAAAAAAAATGAATATCAAGTTTCACACTATGATCTTGAAATCTGGCCCTTCAAAAATTGGATGGTCTATGTCCAAGTTTGAGCCATTATTTTTTAGTACGTAGAGAGAGTTCAATTAGGATTTTTTTTTGTTTTTTATTGAGGTTAGTCTATGGGTTGAAAGGTTACATCCTCAAAACTTGGGTTCCTAAAATTACTCCTCTATTGGGTTTACCTGGGGGAGTGAATAGATAGTACACTCCCATGGGATTATAAAATCTTTGGGTTTTTCTTATTAATATAAAGTTGGGTGTGGTTTGTATAATAAGGCTGAGTCCCTAAACAATCAAAGTAAGGTGCACCTTCAAATAGTATCGAAAGATGTTGTTTTAGTATTGGAAAACTTTGTGATATGCTAAAAATATATTTTCGTTTCTAATTATAAACTTTAAAAGCTTTAAAAATAATGTAGATGAGTATATCAATTAACATTCGAAAATACTGAAAATTGACGGTCTAAAAAATACATTACAAGATACTATGTTTCTAGGACTTGATATATATTTTTTCTCATGTTCATACATCTTGAGGTCAAGATGATCGATTTCAGAATTTTTAAGCATCAAAACAATCTCTTCTAATGAATTTTAATGGTGTACCTTAATTTGATTGTTTATAGCCTCACCCTTGTAAACTATTTCCCATAAAATCACAATTCTGTCGTTTCTCTTCTCATTCGCCTCACTTTTCACACCAAGACAAAGCACGCGTGCTCTCACGAGTTTTTTTTTTTGGGGTAAATAAAAGAGGGGTACGTTAACTCGTTTGAATTTTTTTGATAAATTCCAGAGATATATAAGTAATATATGTACCACTAAAGCCCATGCCTAACTTGACAATCTCTCTTTCATCTTTAGGTTTAATTGGTTGGTATCCTTTCATTTGTAAGGACGGTAACGGGAGGAAAAGAGCCCGAGTTTAACTGGTTAGCGCTTGGCGATTTGGAACGCTGTCTTAACCTCAATTCTTATCAAAGGTAAGGACTTTCTACATTGACTAACTCAAAAAAAAAAAAAAAGTGTAACAATGAACTAAAAAAAAGAAAAAGGTGACAATGAGCTAGGGCTGGGAAAAGCCAACCTTGGCCCTCGCTCTAGGCCAAGCCGAACTGGGCTGGCACTGGCCCTAGCCCTGCTCTTGGGCCACAGTTTGTAGCCCAGGCCGTCTATTTTTAAGGCCTAGGCAACCGGGTAGGCCGGGCCACCCGGCCCATTGCCAGCCCTATCCATTTTGATGAGCCACCTGGCACATTGCCAGACCTATCCATTTAGATAAATTGTGCTCCCTGAAGGCTAAGTTGAATTTAAAGGGTTTCATACAAAGGCAAAAGGAAGCCGTCATTTATTTCAATCTGTGCCAATGATCAAAACACATCATTTTAATTGGAAACAGTATTTATTGTATTTATCGAGAAGCCCCAACAATAAGGAAAAAATAAACCAAAAAAAGGAACCAAAAGACAGGAACTATGAGGTAATACCCTTAACTTGACAGGGGAAACCTATTTCCTCTATGACGCACGTTTGGTTCGCGTATATATGAAGAAAATCTCTTATACGGTCAAATATAAGAATATTTTTACATCAATAAGTTGTCAATTGATGTGAAAGGATGTACTAAAACCAATTGGTATTAAAATATTTCTTTTCGGGCAAACCAAATCAACCACCAATGAAAAGTTTTCGGGTCAAGCACAAGGTTGGCGGGAAAATTGAATATTGGGGTGTAGAAATTCCCCACTGGATAAAGCCCTGAACACATGCTTAGATGCAGCTTCAGTTGGATGTAATCCATCCCAAATCACACGCATGCTTGGATTTCCACATGAGGGCACCTCAGGTTGGCCACAAGTGCGAGTAGGATCATAATTATATGGTCCTCCGACTCCACAACATGCTGAGTGAACTGTGTCCTTGGGGAACCCTGAAGAAAAAACACCGACTTCAGCAAAAATTTACATGATCCTTAGTTGCTTTCCAATGTATTTCTATTGTACTTTATGTAAGCAAAATACACCATGGCCCATATGATCATGGTAATAGTATGGTCTCCGGGGTCATGACCATGCCATCAATATGTTGTTGCAATCCAAGGTTACAAACCCTCAAGTGGAGAGCAATAATGCCTATTGACATACTGTTCCCATAGTCATATGGACCATAGTTCTTTCCCTTGTACGGTGAGAAAATGCTAATCCATATCTAATTTCAATTATCCTGAACAAAAACCTTTAAACAATCCGGCAAGTGAGATGAGTTACCATAGAGCTCAGGTGATTCGAAGAAGCGCAAGAAGGCGTTATAGTAATTGGCGTAGATAATGTTCGCTTGTGGGAATTTCTTTCTCATTGCTTGGATTCCATCTTGGAGCTTCGAGTTATGGAAGCTCGCAAAATTGTTTAAGGGGATCAGACATCCGGATTGTGGATCGTAGTCGCTGCTGTTATCACTAGGAAAGATAGTTAAGAGGCATGTCCAACACCCCATTGGAAAGGTCCCAGGGACCACCAAAGTCCTGGCACCTTTTTGGATCAATCCCTGCAACAAACAGGCACTTGCTAAGAGCTGGAACCCACCTAGAACAAGGGATGTCCCCATTAATGTGATAAAGGATACTTGAGTACCACTTTTTAAAATAATTAAATGTTTCTAGAAATTAGATAGTTATTGAGATGTAAGTATGTAGAGTATGATACTATAGAGTTTTTGCTAAATTTTAAGGGAATTTTAGAGATTTCTATTAATGTATGGTTAAAAAATTTTGGTTGTACAAAAACGTCGAACCTTTAAGATTCTTAGAGTTGTTTGTTGTTATACTTTCTCTTTATTCTATAGTTTGAAAATGAACTTAAGAGTTCAAAATTTTACTTTTAAAATGGGAAATTTATTTAAAGACTCATAAAATGTTAAGTATTCAACATTTTACCCATTTGTAATAAGTATTCAAAAGATAGATTCAGCCAAGGTACTCGGACGTTGGCTGAGGCAATTTATTTGGCCGAGTAGGTGTTTCTTAATAGGTATTTTGGAATTAAATCTAAAGAATGGGTATAAAATTAAATTATTCAGAGTAATTTGATAAATTTGCCTTTAAAAAAATGCTGGGGTAATACGTAGAAAGTGAGCAACCTACAAGGTCTCAGAGCGTACGGCATCACAAGTATAATAGACTTTTTTGCTTTTCTTTTATTGGATTTGGGGTCTTGAAAGGGCATTATGCTTATTTTAATGTGAATGAAGAAGATGGCCTAATTATTACTTCTCTACGTAGTTTCTCTCTAGCTGTAATTTGTTTATCTCATTAATAAATTGATCATGGTATTTGACGATTGATTCGATCTTAAGCTCGTATTTTTGTTTTTGAAAAGGAATCAAATGCTTTTTTGTTTTTTTTTTGGTTAAATCAATGGGGTATACAGGCCCCACACATTTTCAGAAATAGTTAATGGTTTTTTAATGCATTAGCGAGAATGGAAATCTCACACATTTTCAGAAATAGTTAATGGTTTTTTAATGCATTAGCGAGAATGGAAATCTAAATTGGTAGCTGAGGCTTAGGTGTTGAACTGGCTGGTTTATCGGTTTGGCCGGTTGAACCACTTTTAGCCCCAATCAAGTTAACAATTCCGGTTCGATTTTTCCTCCACTAATTTCAGTACATACCTCGACAGTTTTCATTATTGTAGTAACAATGTCGGGCACAAAAGCCTTAACCTCGTCAATCGTCTTCCCTTGATTTAAGGCGTAGTAATAATCGTTGGTTCCGATCTCTCCTACCAGAAACATTGACTTCTTCATGTACTCTTCGCACTCTACCCATTAAAACAAGAAATCAATGCCAATAAATTTCACCGAGTAATCCAACCAAGTAAAAGAAAAAAAGATATTTCAACTACTAAAAGTCTAAAAGAAGAGAGAGAGAGATGAACTAAATTTATTAAGAAATAGAGAGGTATTTGTATTGGAAAAAGAGGAATTTGGGTTAGAAAGAAAAAGGAAAAAAAAACTAAAAAATCACTAGAGTCGTATAAGTAGCGTACCAGTCGGAAAAAGGATTAAACAGTAAAAACAATAAAATATTTGTTAAAAAACTTAAAAAATCAAACTAAACCATAATTTCTACCATAATTTATATTTGCAATAAACATTAAAAAAATGAAAATTTGTACTATAATTTAGCAAAAAAGGTATATTTTTTTAAAAAAAGACTAAATTTTTACGATGTAGCTCTGCTGAGCAGCTCCAAGTTTGAAAACCATGATAGAGAGAGATGAGTTACCACCATTATTTAGACTCTAGAGATAAAGAAATTCGGCCAGGAAGAAGAAGACTTTGGGTTATAGTCGATAGGGTCCTGCTTTTTTTTGCCCCGTCACACAGAGAGATATTTGGTCCGTACCAAAGTACTTGAGCCTTGGATTTAAAAAAAAATAAAGAAAAAGACATTACGTCCAACTTTTTTTTAATCGAATATTGAATGACATGATGGTTACGCAATTCTATATATATAGGTACGGTTTGTACAGAGCCTAAGCTCTAAACAATCAAATTAAAACCTACTTTCAAATAGTATCGAGAAATGTTGTTTCAATATTAAAAGCCTTTGTTATAGTTTTAAAATGTATTTTTATACTTATTTATAAAGTTTAAAGCTTAAAAAATAGTGTAGATTGTGCAGATTTATGAAAACTTGCAAATCTTGAAAATTGACGGTAAAAAAATGTATTACAAAATGCACTATTTTCAAAACTTGAAATCCATTTTTTTCTCATGTCCATGCATCTTGATGTCAAGATGATCGATTTGAAGAAATTTGAGTATCAAAACAACCTCTTTTAGTTAAATTTTTGAGGTAGGCTCAAATTCTTGATGTCGAAATGATCGATTTGAAGTTATTTGAGTATCAAAAACAACCTCTTTTAGTTAAATTTTTGAGGTATGTTCAAATTTTAATTGTTTAGAGCCCCGGCTCTATATAAACTTTTCCCACATATAAAAGGGTGCAGTTTGTATAGAGTCTAGGCTCTAAACAATCAAATTGGAGCCTACCTTTAAATAGCGTGGAGAAATGTGGTTTCAACACAAGAAATATTTTTATTTATAAAGTTTAAAGCTTAAAAAATAGTGTAAATCAATAGATCTATGAAAACTTGAAAATCTTGAAAATTGACGGTAAAAAAATACATTACAAAATACATTATTTCCAAAACTTAAAATCAATTTTTTTCTTATGTCCATACATTTTGATGTCAAGATGATCAATTTGAGGACTTTTGGGCATCAAAACAATCTCGTCTAACAAAGTTCTTGAGGTAGGGTCAAATGTGATTGTTTAGAACCTCGGCTCTATACAAACTTTTCCCTATATAAAATGCCCTTTGCGGGATGTCTTAAGTTCTCGGCCCATTATGAGTGGATGCGGCCGAGGCCAAGAACACTTGCGAAGGAATTTGGATGAGAGAGAAGTCCTTACCATTATTTGGATGGCATATGGAAGGTAGCAATTGGTAGAACCACTGGAGCTGATTCTCAAGGGAGATATTGGTGGACAATTTCTCAACACCTTTCTCTCTCAACAATGAGGGAGTCAGGGCCGTTGCTCCTGCCACTGCGAAATTTGCCCCCTTTTTGAACTCAACGGCGCCATGAAAGCCAGAGAGATAAGGTTGCAGCATAGGAAGCCCCAACCCTTGGGCTTCACATATATGCACCCAAACCAAAACAATCAAAAGTCAAAATTTTAATATACATCGTCTCTCTCTCTAACATAAATACATACTCTCTCTCTATAGGGCAGAAATAAACACCGCATTCACTCCATTCTCTCTCTCTAAAGAATATAGATGGATGCATATTCTCTTTTTAGATTGTGTTTCTCTTGGGTGGGTTCTTAATTGGGGAAATGGAGATGGACAACAGGGTAGGAGCAATATTCAAAAAATCGAGTCGGTCAAGGTACTTAGGATTCTGATTGAGGCGAGTCACTCGGCCTAAGTTCATATTATACTAAAAAAAAGAAAAAATAATAATGAACATAAATAAAGTTTATATATAGTAAAATACCTAGACTTAACAATAACATGTAAGTAGCGTATTAGTAAATTGCAATGGATCTTTTTATAAGAAGACGAGGCCTGACCAATTATAGGACCTGTTAGGAAGTACGAGTTAGTTCAAGTGGAAGGATTGAAAAGTGCAAGAAGTAAATTCAAAAAGACGTGGTTGAAAGTAGTTCGAAAAGATATAATGAATTATGAGGACGTGGATGGAAGTAGTCCGAAAAGATATATGATAACTTATGGGGACACGGTTGGAAGTAGTCCAAAAAGATATGAGACTTTGTTCTTGCTGTGGGTTGAGGGTATGGCGTTTAATAAAACAGAATAACGGATCAGAATTGGTGTAACCGACTCCAATTAATTAAAAAAAAACTATAAATGATGATGAGATCGTGCCTGTGAAGTTTTGAACCGTAGACATGAGGTATCATCAACGCATGTAGTGATGAACAAGCCACTTAGGCACAACATGAATAAGATTGCGAATGATAATATATAAACAAAACAGGTACATGGTAATCGGAGTAACTCGATCGAATCCGAGTCAAAAAATGCTGGGTAAGAGAGACAAGAGGGGAAGAGAGAGAAAATACCGAAGAAATCAACAATCAATCGGCCATCAGAACAGCGGCCAGTGGGCCTATGAAAGAAGGTCTCTCCATAAGGGAGGCTCCATATGCCGATGAATTGGTCGTGTTCCACATATTTGAGGTTTCCCGTATCAGTGAGCGAGTCTCCAAAACTGAACAACGCTGTGTGACACTCGAACTCGGGCTTTGCCTTCATCTCCTGTGCAGTGTTGAGAGAGAAGAGGAGGAGGAGAGAGAGGATCAACAATGGTGAGGCCATGGAAAGGAGGTCTGCTTTTTGGCTCGGCCTCTCTCTTACAACTATGGCCATGACTGGGGTTCTCTTCCTCTCTTATTGATTTTGAGTATGTTACTGTTCCTTTGAACGTTTCCTATTACTTTGCCCTCATTGAAATAAGGGAGAGGTCACAATCACTCATTGGATGTAAAATCCAATGAATTGTAGTGCATCAAAATGTTGGTCAAAATTGGAGCGAAGTACAGATGTTTTCAAATATGATTTATGCATGAAAAATTGTTTATGTGGGCTGGCGGGCCAAAAAGTGCAAAGAATCTATCTTAAAGATGGATGCAAGTAATAGATTTTTTATGAAATATATTGTTGGCATAATATATTACCAGCAAATAGATGGTTATTGTTTGGTAGTATCTAAATATAACATCGAAAATACATTGTTACTGTTTGGGTAGTATCTTACTGTTTGGGTTGTATCACTGTTTACTTTCCAAAAGAAATAGGTATTTTCATTGTAAACAAGATCAAAAGAAACTCAATAAGAAATAAAAAAAATTGCCCATACTCATAAAACCCCCCAAAACCCTTAAATCCGATAAATAAATTCACAGAAATAAAAAGATCATCAACAAATTCCCATAAAAAACTAAATATTCTTAAATAAAAACTTAAACCGAATTCAATATTCCCAATTCACTTAGAAAGAGTATCCAATATTCACCGCTAATTCCAAAAGGAAAAAGAAAAAGAAGAAGAAGAACAAGAACAAGAAGAAGAATAGATCATCAAATACTAAGATCAATCTTCACCTAAATTCCTCCAAATAATATTACCAAATTATGAAAAAAAAGAGTAAAAATTGGGATCATTGTCTTACCTTGAATCTGCCAGAAAAATCGCCAGAAAATTAATTTCTAGGCAGCATTAAGAGAACCGGCGTTTGGAAATCGGATTTTAGAGAGAGAGGGAGAGGGAAATAAGAGATAGAAAGAGCGTTTAAAGGCTGTCTTTTTATTAGAGGACGCGAGCAAAATGAATTACCCTTCAAGTTCATATTTCCTTGTAATCTATTTTCATAAAATAGATTTCCAGGTACCGAAACGGCCAAGTGTTCCCATCTAAAAACACTGGAAACTAACTGTCCAAATGTTTTCTTACTAGAATTATTATTTTAAGTTTTAAAATTTATTTATTTTTTCATATTCATGATCTCCATGTTAGATATTACATGTCATTAAAAATTAAGTCTTAAAATCCATCTAAAAAATGGATTTTTTAATAGACCCGCATTTCTATAGATGCGGACTTAGCCGCATAGAAACCAGGTCCTTTATACATTGTATATAGTAGTGTGTCAAAATATTGGTCAAATTTGGAGGGAAATACACAAGTTTACAAATGTTCTTTAACATCGCATACAATGAACTCCAAGGTCATTGTGCATCTACTTCCTCAATCAAAACTCCTAGCTACAATGATTTTTGTTTGGCAAAAACTTATATGATGGCGAGGCCCTAAACAATCAAATTAATGGTACTTCAAAAATATAACTAAAAGAAGTTGTTTCAGTGCCAATAAAACCCTTAAATTGATCATCGCAACCTCAAGATGCATAGATATGAAAAAAATTAGATTTCAAGTCTTGAAAATAGTGTATCCTGCAATGCATTTTCAGACCGTCAATTTTCAAGGTTTTCAAGTGTTTATAAATCTGCTCGATGTATACTATTTTTGTTGTTTCAAAGTATATAATTAGAGTTGAAAATAAATTTTCAGGCCATCACGAAGATTTCTAATATTGAAATATCTTTTGACACTATTTGAAGGTGCCCTTAACTTTGATTGTTCAGACTTCAGAGACTAGGTCTTATACAAACCACATCCTTTTTTTTTAGTCTAAAGTTTTGTGAACCATGTAGCAATTACTAGATTATTTAAAAAAAAAAAAATTAAATTTGAGTTCTGTGGCACTTAGATCTAGCCATTAAAAAATTGGACGGTCTCTATTCACTATTGACACATTATTTTCTTTTAGTTTATAGAGATTTTATTTATAAAATTCTTTTGATGAGATTATTCTCGAATTTGAATAATTTCAACAAAAGGCATCCTTAGCATGTATGTTGGCTGAGGGAGTAAATAGATATATACTCACGCAGGAGTAAATAGTTATAGAAAAACATTTGAAAATATATGTATTTCTCTCCTGTCCGTGTTGTAATTGCGAGACAGGTGGGCAATTATGGGGAAATGAAAAGGTTGCCAAATTGTGGAAAATGAACTCATTCGGTAATAAACAGTTAGAAACATCGTAATTTTTATTTTTTTTTCCTTATGACATTTTCGAAAGAGCCTGTCAAAGTACACACCTAGAATCCATCGTTGGGCAAAGGGCAATAGGAAAGCTTTCCATATGATCCTATCAAATATGCAGTGAAATCTAATCACACTAGTTAAATTTGAGTAGATGGCTGAGATGGCTTGAGTCACACTGTGAAGCTGGCTCTCGAGCGTCTTCTTGATCCGATGGATCAAAGTGTTATATTTTTTTAATCTTTATTTTATAAACCATTTTGCAGCAAAATTTTTGGCATGCAAATATATGAAAAAGGTGCACATGATGAAAATAATAAAAATATTTTTTAAGATGAAAAATTACCAGAATACCACTAAAACTTTTAGGGGTACTTGGTCATGTATTTTCATAAAAAGTAATTTTATTTTAAATTTTTTGCTAGGTTGCCCCAATAAGGAGTTGCGATGTCCTAAATTTCAGCCAAAAAGATTTGGTAGAAAAAACATTAATAATCAAACAGTGTTTTGGCATGACATTATGACATGAGTAGTCCTTGCCGTCGATTCAAATCGGATGGCTGACAAGTAGGGTCATATATCATTATATGTGGTTGGGGTCACACAAAAAGCTTTCACATTTTTAAATTTGCCCCTGTATCAAAATTAAAGAGATTTTTAGTGAAACTAATTACGAAAATACTGTAGTATTTTTTAATAACAAGCTCTAACTTTGAATACTCTATGAGATATTGATAGTTATGAATGCCGATATCTCATAGTGATAAGATGTTGATCTTCGAAAGCACCAATATGTTATGGGGGGACTCATTTGGTGAGCTAATGATACTAAAATAAATAAATAAATACGTCGAAAGGGGTTTTAGTGTGAGGAATCGGTTATTTCAACCAACATCTCGCGAAAACTATGCCCTTGTGAGATATTGGTATTAAAAATACCAATTTCTTGATAGGTGACTTTATGAGATTATTATTCAACTAGTTCATGTCATGGTTGTTTACTCAATGTTGTTACTTGAGACGACTAATATTGTTTAGAGTGTGATATTAGTATAAGAAATTTTCAATATATTATGTGTAATCCCTCTGAAAAGCACTGTCACTTTAATTGAGGGTGAACTTAAAAACTATCCCAAAATTTTTAAAATCAAAATTTGTATAAATAATGGAAAACTGATAATTTTACACGAACAATGCACCACTAGACAAAAAATAAGAGAATATATAAGTTTCATAATTCCTAAATTTAAAAAAACAATTGTTTCATACGGGCTGGACAGTATTTCTATAATATGCAGTCCGGAGTTATAAAGTATTCATATTAAAGATGGATGCAAATAGGTGGTCCATCCAAAAACAATTATAACTAACAATACAAATGTTTTTTTGATATAATTATTATTTCTAGTTTTCAAAATTTATTTTCTTTCATATTCATGATCTCCATTTTAAAGAGTACATTTTCTCTAAAATTTAGGATCAAATTATATTTAAAAAATGGGTTGTATGGAGCCGAGGCTCTAAACAATCAAAGTAGAGCGCACCTTCAAATAGTGTCCAGAAATGTGGTTTCAATATTGGAAATCATGTGATAGCCTTAAAATATATTTTCATATCTAATTATAAAATTTAAAGCTTAAAAAATAGTGTAGATCAAGTAGATCTATGAAAACTTGAAAATCTTGAAAATTGACAGTCCAAAAATGCATTACAAGATGCATTATTTTCAAAAATGAAATCCATTTTTTTCTTATATCCATGCATCTTGATGTCGATATGATCAATTTGAAGCTATTTGGGTATCAAAGCAACCTTTTCTAGTGAAATTTTTGAGGTGCGCTCTAATTTGATTGTTTAGAGCCTCGGCTCTATATAAACATTTCCTTTAAAAAATATATTTATTGCTAAGGTGGCATTTCAACATATGCGGGCTTGGCCGCATGCTAACGGCGTCCAATTCAAAAATAAAAATTTAGAATTCTGACCAAAAAAAAAAAAGAAAAAAAAAGAAACACGGTTTATACATAAATTATATCAAGAAGTAATAAATTCACTTCTTAATCTTGGTCACGCCTTAGCCCCGTGTTGTCCCCTGGTAAATAAATTTAGTCTCCCCTCCCGGAATTTGTTAACCGCACGTGGGGAACACCTTATAGGGGATGTTGTGATAAGTTCTTTGAGGTGTCACAAAGGTGACTATCAATAATATTTTAATATTAGTCAATGAAACTAGGGGATCTGGCATGATCGTCCTGGTCCTAATGGATCCTAAAATTTTTTCTAAAATAGAAATGCTCTAACATGTAAAAACTACAAAAAAGATTGGTCAACCCACCTTCTATTATTTCTTCTCTTCACGTGGTTCCCAAAATTTTAGATAGACAAAAAAATCCTCTTTATATGGTATATCCACATTAATGCTCTTAGGAGCACATAATATAGGTGACGAGAAAGAAATATATTGAATTGGTTCGTGGTGGCTTGTGCAAATTAAATAAAAATAATATATTATGAAACCATTTATCATTGTTATAAGGAGGTCACAATTATTCTCAGCTGTTATATGTCAAATTGGATGGCTTAAAATATGTCACGAAGTTTAAACATTTTATTTTGGCTTTTGAATCTAATCAATAACACACTTACAACTACTCAATTCAAAATCTTCCTGAAGGCGATTATGACCTCCTGCTAAAAGTAAATATTCTCCTCGTATTAAATTAAATTAAATTAAATAAGCGTGAGACGTGCAAACTCACTCTCCACCCGCCATCGGCCTTGACCCGCCATC